GGGGGGGGGGGGGGGGTTTGAGGGAGGAGGCGGTATCGTAGGAGGGATCACTTAGATACATGCACTGTGATATTGTGCTTCCTTGATTTGCAGAGCAGTTGAGGATTTTGTTTTCATATGGAATAATAGGTTTCCAAGCTTAACACTCAAAGGAGGGTTCTTCAGACTAATTACGTCTAGTTTTTATGACTTACTCCTATGTATATAACCTTTCCTCTATATTCCAAGACGTAAAGAACATTCCCTTGAACAGATCTGGAAAGTGTTGGAATCTCAGACGCATGATTATTAATTGTTCGACTTCATTCTAGAGGGTGGTTTATACTGAGGAATGCTTGATAAAATGGGCTGTACTCGGTAACGGCTTATCCTCTAAGCAATCAATACTCGGACAACTCGTAAAAACGGCATATTGCAAATAATTCTGCTCTGTCTTTAACCTTGCTGCGCATACGTAAGCATAAATCGTGTGGATATGGGGCATGAATTTATCACGGTATTAGGACAGAATGAAGCAATTCTCACATACTCTGTGGGCAACGTTCGCTTTCGTTCCAGCACATTTTCCGAGGACATTTTCCGAGCTCCATTGCTAACCCCTCTAGCCCATCGGATCCTCCGAGAATGACGAATATAGCAGAAGTTATTTATATTAATTCGACATTCGGTATTCGGCATATTTATAATGTTCCATAACTTCGCATGTACGAGGCGAGGCTATGTGGAAATCTAGAAATAACCTAAAGAAACACCTCGCATGAATACGCAAAACCGATTCACGATGCACAATTCGTATAAATGTGAGACGCCTCATACACGTGTACATCCTCTTCGCGAAAGTCCGATTCGGTTAGGTTCAAGGATGACCTCGACCATAATGTTACACTCATGAGAACGGTTGATTCCACACACCGCTATTAAACCTAAATTGTTTTTTGTTTTTTTGGAATGAGACAACACCTAAATGGCGAGACTTGCTTAGGGTAAACCTTCAGTCTTCGAAGTACAAAAAATGCCTTCTTGGACGAGGAAGCGGAACTGAAACGCTCCTTCAATACGGTAGATCAACTGATCATATCTTTTCGTAGTGCTGGGATATACAACAAAAACTAGCCTGATCGTCGCCGATACCACCACAGAAGGATCGCTTGGAAATGACCTTCAACAGGTCGGCTCCGCCAGTATCCTAGCAGTTACTGTAGGGCTGACTGCTCTACGGAACAGCCATGGGTTCTGCGCACTTACTGGGTACTTTCTGGTATTTCTCCACGATCTACGCAAGATACGAACGTGCACAAAAAGAGCCCACATCTACAGTACAGTACAAGGCAGTTCCATCAGTTCCCCTAGCCCCCGCTCCTTCCACATCACAGATGTCATTTCTGACAGCTTCACCTCATACCGCCGCAAAACAACAAAGCGAACGATTAACGTTTATTTAGGCGGGGAAGAGCATGATAAATTAGTAAGGTCAAATGGGGAGACTGATTGTGAAATACATATATTGGATTAAGTGTTGATGTGCTAGAACTTTGAAGGAGAACTGGCATGGATATAGTGACTGGTATGATATAATCAGGTCACATGACCATGCTTCATCAAACAATTTCCTAGAACTTGAGGCCAGTTGACCCATAAAAACAAGCTTCCCAAGCATTTGAGCCTCAAAACTCACTGCCCATGGGTGCATGTTTCCTGTTCTATATGTAGAGTATAGAAGGGGCAATGTCGCTTCACCGAAACTGCATGTTTTCTAGTACAAGTTATCTGAAGTCTGGCAGAGTGCTATTGGAGACATTCTATGAAGCCGGCAATTAGGGACCGGCCCTCTACAACGACGATCATGGCAAGTTTTGGCTTACAGAGTATTGAAACCATCCGTTTTTACACTCGAAGCTAGCTATACATACGACATAGAAAGTTTCGTTATTTTTGTATGTGTTAGCATTTGGCGTAAGAAGCCCCTAAGGCTTCACAAGGTCACCTTTATACGGTACACCATCAATCATCATGATAGTACCATTAGAGTGTCAAGGCTACCAGTAAAAAGATTGGAAGATCTGCAAATGGATTTTCGGTAGTGAAATGTTAATCATACGACGGCTAAAAAGATGAGTGGAGCCTCCCTCTCTCAAATCCCCGCACTAAAGTATAAAAGAAGATCCAAAGTGTATGCAAGTTATAGTTTTGGTGAAAAAAGCTAAAACTCAAAAGAAACCCCATCACCCAATGCCAGGATGTTAGAGTCACTGCACAAGTTGAATGAGTGGATTTGTATAGTACTGTAAATGCCCCGAGATGCCCACCACGGATTCTGATGCCACGAGGATAACCCGAACAAAACCCTTGAAAAGCAAGCTCCATTTCCACTTTCACAGACCCCAATGGAAAGAGAAGCTTCAGAACATTCTCAATATTTCTCGGAATGACCTGTCAAGATCCTTGCAGGTTGTTTAGATAGCAGTGCCACCACCATCAACCGCGATATCGGCTGTTATCAATAGTGTTAGTCTTGGTTCTCCAAAAGTTTCAAGAAGAGCAAACTCACCACCGGTGATATAAGATGCATCATCGCTCAACAAAAATACAATCACATTGGCGACTTCGGCTGCTGTGCCCAATCTCTTCAATGCTGTTCCCGAGGCGAATTTCACTTTGTCTACGAGACCTGCAGCAGCAGCTCTCTCGAAGTTCTCCCCTGTGTGAATAGGACCCCTATAGTTCCAGAATTTGGTAAGTTGGGGTTTCATTTAAAGCGACCGCATGGTTGTTGGGTCGTACAAAAGAGGGGTAAAACAAAAATAAATGAAATGGAACCATGGGAGGAGGATAGAAAAGTGGAGAATCATAGATTACTTACGGCATCAGGGTATTTACTCGAACACCTGCTTCGCCAAATTCAGCAGCTGCACATTTAGTTAAGCCTCTCATGCCCCATTTCGTGGACGAGTAAGACGGCATTCCAGCCACACCCTTCATGCCTGCTCCTGAAGAGATCTTATTTGAGTTAGTACAGTAACTACATCACAAATTAGGAATGAGTGGAGAGGTAACTCACATTGACGATAGAGCCCCCTGGTTTGGTGATGTGCTGTAATTGAGCACGCATGCAGTTCATTGTTCCTGTAAGGTTCACAGCAATGGTTGCGTCCCAGTCTGATTGTTTCTTGTCGGAGAATTAGCTTGAGGGATCAACGGGGAAAATCGGGAATATCCTACAATGTTGGCAGTAGTTGTATCAAGCTGTCTTCTGGATATAGCAGCAACATTAGCTGCTCCATCGAGACGACCAAATGTTGCCACGGCAGTGACAATCCATTCGTCTACTTCTGCGGCATTCGCAATGTCCATTTTCTTGATGAGCACGTTGCATTTTGGATACTTGTCGGCGCTTAAAAAATAAGTATTCGGATTGTATTGATAATGCAGACAGAGGTAAACTTACATCATTTTTTTGGTCTCCTCTAACCCTTCCAGATTCACATCACATAGAGATACCCCTCCAGCACCGAGTTCAGCACATCGAAGTGCTGTTCCTCTCGCAATTCCAGAGCCTGCTCCAGTGATAGCAATGAATTTTCCCTCCATTTTCAAGGCTTGGGCTGTGTATTTGATAGTAAGTAGGTTAATGAAGACAGGCTTGGGGGCAACGTGTAGCAGATGGATGGTCAGACGTGGACTCGCAAGGCAGTTTGTAGTCTAATGAGTCGGTGTAGTGCGTCCTTCGGGCGGGGTAGCTCAGCGGAACTCAATATGACACTCTCTCTATAGCTACAATCAATTTCTGGAGCTTCTAGTTCGCATTGTTTCGTATTCTTCCGCACTCGTACTCAACCCCGGCATTTCCCCAAGGACGATCTACGGTTAAAACTCATGAGTAAGATCCAAAGTGGTCAGGGAGTATGGGCTGTTTTAGTCCTGTACTTGTAGGTGGCAGCGCTGGGCCCAAGTGTACTATGCCGCACACTAGATTTGGTGGGATCTACCATCTAAGTTGATGTATCACAGTTGGTTTCTATACTTTTGTATAATCGAGCCAATCGAAATGCCCTGATTTCATTATTTCTCAAATGACGACGACAATGCGATATCTCGAAATAGCTTCAATTATTGAGTACGAGTTATTTGTAGGTACGTGCTAGCACGCATACACCTCGTACTTCGTACTCCCCGATCACTTTGGATCTTACTGTTGAGTTTTTACCGAAGTACTTCTACGAAGTACTGTACAATGTTATTTCAGATGAAGAGCGGGGTAGTTTGTTCAAACCCTCGGCATTGTAAGCGAATTACGAGTAAGCTTTTATATATTCAGGCTTGGTTTCCAAAGCTTAGCCCCTTTAGGCATTTCCCAAAAGCCACACAAGGGCAACAACTATGCTGAATCTGTCGTCGTGTGCCTTACTACCGGTACGTAGTATACCTCTCGGGAAGTTTATACCCATCTTTTACACTTTCCTGATGTGTTAACCTTCGAGGCTCACCAATCCCCTCCAAACACGCCCGTAGGCGATCTGCACAACGCGACGTCGTACTACGGGAGGACCCGAGCTACTGTACTCGGTGGTAGAGTGGTAGAGAATAATGCGGCGACCCCTCCGATGCACGCATTTTTAATGTGACAAAGGTTGTTCGGTTGATCAATTAAAAGTCTCCATCCGGGCCGTCGTACCTGTAACCCCAGATCCTCAACAAGTTCTCGAGTACGGAGGAACACTACCGGTAGGCATCCGATTCTTGGAGTTGTACCCAGTACCGTAGTTGATGCTCGCCCCCTTGGCCCCTTGGCCCCCCCTGTCGTCGTGCTCGTGCTCGTGCTCGCACTCGCACCTGCACCTTGACAAGCTTTTGGCGGTTCAGCCAATGGCATGACGATCCTCCTCGCTCTCAGATTCACTATGCGAGAAAGTCCGGAGCGTGATTGGTCAAGTACAGAAGAGTCCGCTTTAAAGTCGCTCACCGGCCAATCATAACCGTTTCATAGTTGACACGATTAACGGCCCCTTTTTGCTATGCGCTGCCACGAGCATACGACATCTCACATGTACAGTACAGTACTGTATACGTAAGTGCTTTTTTACATGTCATGTCCGAACTGAGATCTTCTGCCAGGTGGTTGGTTCATCTGGAGACCTGTACGAGTAGTGCGTCCGAATGGTGGCGCGGCGATTAGCGATCCCAAGCTACTTCGTAACTGTATAGTTGATTACCTATACCCAAGGTTGTTGGCATGATTCAAACGGTAGCTAGCTTACCGGGGCCACATCAGGCACAAAAGGTACAGTAGGCACTTACTTCGAAGTAGTGCCTCCACTACTGCACAAAATAACCCAAAATCCTATTCGACTACCCTTAAATTTTGACTCCAAGCCTAACTCTGGCCTAACTTTGACCCATAACCTTCCTACCTTTAATCCCCAACCCTAACCTTAAAGAAAAAGTGGGTGCTGTACTGTACGAGTATTGTAGTCTATTTTTTACCGATGGGTGTAAAGGACTGGGACGCTTTGTTGTGGCCAGTGCGTGGACCTCACAGTGACATGCATTATTTATGAACTCCAATTTATCTAGCCCCCTTGCGGATATCTTCGCAGTCGTATTTTCGGAAATCAATCTCAACCCCAGCTCCCTTCACTCTGCGGTGGGCGGAACCTGATACATGGCCAGTTCTGGGGAGACACTGACGAGTCCATGGTGCGCTGGGTATTTGTAGAAGTATAAACTCTCACTCATCCCTTCTTTCTAGAGCTTCGATAAATTCTTAAGTTCCATTACCACCTACACCAGATTTACTAACGAACCTGGAACTTGCCACCATGGCGGACATCTTCAAAGACGTTGACTTACTGCCCAAGTTATACCTTGGCCTCGGTGTCGGCGCCCTTTCTTTAATCGTACCTTACCTTCTTTCTATCTTAAGCCAATGGAACCTTTCGAGAAGGCTATCCAAATTTCCTTTTGTAAACCAACAATGGGACGCGGCAGCTAAAGCCAAGTTCCACGTCAATGCCGCCGACATTATCAAAGAGGGTTCCAAATTGGTTCGCGGTTATCTGGAAGACTTGGGAGAATAAGAAGCTGACTTTGGATTTAGGCAAAAGGAGAGGCATTTCTCTTAAATGATATGTCAAACGAAACTCTCGTCCTCCCACCCAAGTACACAGACGAAATCAAGAACGAGAAGAACTTGGACTTCCACAACTTTGTTGCTAAGGTATGATTTTAAAAATGCCCCATTCGAAGATAATACTGATGCTTGATGTAGGAGTTCTTTTCTACCTATCCCGGTTTTGATGCTTTCAGCTTGTCTGTTGACCAAACTATATTCCAAGATGCCGTCCGTACACAACTCACCCAAGCTCTTAGTAAGTGTACAATCAAAAATCAACCTTGCACAACTAACGTATTGGATAGCTCTCACCGTTGAACCTATGGCCAAAGAAGCACCCAACACCCTCAAACTCGTTTATGGAGATGCGCCTGATTGGAAAACAACTGTTCTAACACCAAGTCTCCTCAAGTGTGTCGGCAGATTAACAGCACTGATCTTTCTGGGCGAGGGCTTCATGAACAACCCAGAATGGCAACACATCTCCGTTATGTATACCGTCGACGCTTTTATGGCCGCACGAGCTCTGAATTCATGGCCCGCCTTCGCTCGTCCGTTCGTCCATTGGTTCTTACCTGAATGCAAGAAGATTCGCCAGGAAGTGAAAGTCGCCCACGCCCTGATTGCCCCCGAGGTTGAGAAGAGACGTGCGGAAATTGCTACCAATGGAGGAAAGCCACGACGCAAGGTTCTTGACAGTGTGGATTGGTTTCATGCTTCTGCCAAAGGAAGACCTTTCAATTACGCAGCAGCTGAATTGAGTTTGGCAATGGCCAGTATTCACACGACTACTAACACCCTTGGGTTCGCACTGTTCGACTTGATTGAAAACCCAGAGTACATCGACATGCTAAGAAAAGAAATCAAGGACGTCTATGAGGAAGAGGGAAAATGGGAGAAGAGCACACTATTCAAGTTGAAGTTGATGGATAGTGTCTTGAAGGAGAGTATGAGATTACAAGTCCACGCCTTTAGTATGTCCCTGCAATACCCGTGTGAATCAAGGAAATGAGACTAACATCAACAGTCAACATGCCTCGCCAAGCCATAGCTGATATCAAACTCAAGGACGGAACTACCATCCCCAAGGGTGCATTCACCTCCGTCGGCCCAATCCCCATGCACAACCCTGACATCTACCCTGAACCATTGAAATTCAACGGCCGACGTTTCTTGGACCTCAGAGAGGCACCAGGCGCGGAGAACAAACATCAATTCGTCACCACAACTACCGACATGACTGTTTTCGGCCACGGAAGCCATGCTTGCCCAGGTCGTTTCTTCGCTAGTAATGAGATCAAGTTGTTGTTGGCACATATGTTGATGTACTACGATTGGAAGTTGCCTGACGGACAGGATAAGGTTCAACACACCATCAATGGATCAAAGAGAAGTCCAAACGCCAGACAGGCTGTCCAATTCAAGAGCCGACAGCCAGAGGTGCCAGTCTGAGTTCCTTTATATAGAGATTATATTTTTTTGGTAATTATTTCATTTGTTTTTGGCGGGCGGGGTTTTAGAGGTTGGAGTTCTTGGGAATTTCTCATCGCTTCTTTTCTAAGAGCTTATTCTCATCATGTCAATCTTTGCCAGTTATTCTTTTAAGGCTGTTGGATATGAATGTAAATAGTTTAAGAGACTGTAACTCTGCTTCTTCTATCTTCGAACCGTTTTGATAAGCGTGCTACTTTCTCGAAGCAAAAACAATAGTAAAGACGCGTTATGGGTATAATTCTGAAGAGCAACGAACAAACAAGTCGTTCCTTCGAATCATCTTGTTTGCTTGGCCCTTGCTGTTCTGTGTTGTTATGGGTCTTCTAAAGCAAAAAAGTTGTTTGCTCTGAGCTTCCAACACACACACCTTCTCATAAGTGGGCCAAGGGCAATGGCTGGGTCTCTTGTATGTTCAGTAAGTGATAATTGAGGGATGAAATGAACACGTTTCCCCCATCAGTCAGAAGTATTTTGAAAGCCAGTACTGTTCTTGAACTTGAATTGATCTGAGAACTTTTGATTTTTGCTAATTCCCTTGTGTACCTACAGTGTTGAGAAGTGTGTACGAGTATGCCCGTTCTCTTGATGAACCAGGAACTCCGTGGAATCACAACTATTGGATCCACTTTCCAAGCACAAACCAAATGTTACAGAACACAGGGCAAATTCCTTCGGCTGTACCACGCCTCTATACTTTACCGGTAGAGCAACCCAGAATTGTTCCAGAACCTTACTTTAGAAGACGAAAGAATTTAGAAAGGATAATTATCGCCACTTTTCTTCTCCACCACGAGCTACGTCATTGTCAATCATGATGGAAATTGCCGTCAAATCTCAAGCTATGGAATGCTCCGGAGCACACCCTGTATTACACAAGAGCCAGTACACCGCCCGACAATGCGAAATATATTTCACGAAGTAATGGTCATCCTCTAACACGAACGTACTCCGAGCTATAATATTGCGCTTCTCGGGAAGGGGTTGAAGAAGACACTTCTACAGTAGTTACTTCCTTAATGTGAATACATCCTGGGATTAAGTTTGCTTTTAAGCAATCAAGAGTTTAACTTTTGACAGTGTTCGTACATAAGCTTATCGTCGGCCCCACCACAATCGAATTTAAGGTTAAGTCACGTAAGGTTCGCAGTAGATCAATTAGGGAAATTCCACTCAACCTAAATCTTGTCACACTGCGGGGTGTGTCTCATTCATTTTTGCCCTCAGCCACGAGAGACACCGGTGCCCAAAAAGCTTGGGCAAAACTTGTTAAGGAGACGAATTTAAAGCAGTACCCAAAATGAAGACAAAGCAAGCTTTACCCATTTTTGACTGTAGTATACAGTGAGACTAACAGGAAAAATTGAATTATCTCTCCTACTCTGTAAGTCAGCCAAAGTCGCCAAACGACTTTGTTATATGGGGCAGATGTTGTAGAAGTGGATACCTTGGGGCCTGTTTCCCAAGACGATATACGACCTCGGGAAGTAAGCCGCAATATCGTCGAATGGCATATTATGTGGGTCATATTTGGCTGTCCAAGAGACCGTGCACGTATAGAGCCAAGTGCCTAGTAAACTCTAATTCTAGCATATTGAGGCACAATACATAGGTATTCCTACAACTCAAACATAGAGATAAAAGGATATTTGGCTTAGACCAAAATATCGTCCTTAATATCGTCCTTACGAGCGCTCTATATGCCCTATTCCTAGCCCTTTTTAGGCGTCTATACTCTAAGTCTCTTCCTAGTTTAGAAACCTAGCTATATTATCTAGGTTTAGGGACTAAATCGCATTTACTATCGAATACGCTACCCTATATTCTTTTCCGCTTACTTAGGGTTTTGTGCCCTATTAGGATCTACTAGGCTGAAGCTACAGCGTACATACCCTAAAGGATCTTTCAGACTCACGATTGTGGCTGTCTACTCTCCGGTATAATACGACCATGTCCCCTCCCAAATTCCCAGAGGGGACGTGTAATTATGTTATTGAAGAATAATTTCAATTCACTGCGATATAAGCGAAAGTTCCAAATCAGCACTTTGCGCATAAAGAGTGCCATTGCGGTAAAAAGAGGGTAAAGCGGAGATAACAATAGAATACAGTCAAGCTCAAAGTCCTGGTTATCAAGAACTAATATACAACCTGTTAGAACAACCTATGTAGAACATCACCACGGGAGTAATACATTTAAGCGTAAAGGAATAAGATTCATCACTGCGTAAGCACCTATAGGTAGGTATGTAGGTACAGCTATAATACAATAGTAGTGTCCTTGACTAGGCTAATAGACACATAGGTTATCCCTATGTGATCTCTTTTGCACGGAATGCGGGACTAGTGTGGAAGTTCTCTGGATCAACGATCCTCTTCCTTTGGTTCTTAAGGCGATCTTTCGCTTAAGTAACCGTGGACTTTTCCCTCCAGGCGATAAAGGTCCTTTTCTGATTTACTAGGCCAGTTAATTCTTTAATTTTCTAAGCATACAATAAATCGCCTTGGGTGATTCTTTCATACCTACCTAATCTCCGTGATAGTCGGTGTAATGCGGAGTGCGATGTTGTGTCAGGGCACGACAAGAGGTGGGCACACATGTTTCTGTTCTCCACCCCCGCGATTCATTTTCGATGATCAAAACTTAAATCGTGCATATCGGGGGAATGGAGGAAGGGTCAAGAGGGGGGTTATAGTCTGGGGGAAGACAACATCGTGCCTTCCTCTATGCCTCCCGAGTCATCTTGTCTTGGCTTATCACGTCAACAACTCTTTAAGAAGGTTCTGATAATCTGAGCCCTGGATCCCAACCTGGAACTTAGACCATGAAACCCGTGGACCCACCTGCAGACCTCAGGGGAGGGAGAGAGAGAGACCGACCCAAACGTACTTCGTACCTTCCCTCCACGTACTTCGTACAGTCCACTCAGCCCTCGCCAGGGCTCGACACCACAAGAGGCTTCGCGCCTTGAATGATCCAGCTGGAAGTCAATGTTGGAACACAGCTCGGGCCGTCTAAGGTCCTGGCCTGGTCCGCGGCATGCCAATTCGTCATGTCGCTGGGCACCTGGGCAGTTCTTGGAAGTTGGTTCATGTTTGGATCCAGGTCAATCTGCCCATCTGCCCCGCAAAGACATGCACACAAGATCAACCTTCTGTCAATGACATTTGGAATGATTTCCATTGGCCAGCATGCACTGGGGTTAGGAAATTTCATTTCAGAAAAGTTCAATTCGCAATTGGCTCTTCAGAGTTCCTGTATCCCTTATATCGGCAAATGAAAGCATTGGGAACCTATGAAAATATGTGTATAGAGTATATCGGTGAAGTAGATAAATAACCACTCTTAATCCTTACAAATCTCCTCTAGTCTTACTACTTAAGTAAAAACGGTGATAACGCTAAGTGTTCTCCCAGTTATGTGGATTTATGACGTGTAGACAACCTGCGTTATATCTAGGTAGGTGTGTCAGGGACAAAACAGGAGAGTGTCAGAAGCTGTAAAAAATGGAAAAAGGAGACAAGAGCTAGCTAAGGGGGCGAGTAGGGCTCTAATATAAGAGCTGTCTGTCGTCCTGGAAGTGTCCGGAATAGGACTAGCGCCTTCCATAGAATATGCTAGTGCCAGACAGTAGAGCCAGGAGTGCTCATCTCGAGGAGGGAATACAAAATGCTAAAATGGCTTGCTAATATTTTCTCAGTGGTATTAGAGACCATATATGTGTTTGGCTCGGTTTCCAAGAAGTTCTCTGAAAAAGTTGTGATCCGGTTAAGTCGATAAACTTGCAATAGCACAAGGCTCTCATGTTCTCTCTCATGTTCTCGTCACAAGAATCCAAGAGCTTTGCAGTATAAGAAGTGCTAAGTGATCTCTCAAACTACTTAATCGCCCAGTGACGAATCGATGGAGAAAAAACCATTTTCCTCGCAGATCTTAGAAATCTTGTGGACGAATGACCAGGTGTCGGGTAAGTACATACCATCCAACGTATTCGGTGGACTTGGTGCAACAGAAGCTAATAAGCCTTCTCGGAGACTCCATGAATTGATGTTATTAGCACTGAGACTCTTCAAATCTTTGCGTCACTTGCTTCAACCAAAGTAATATCATCATATGCCTGTAGTTCGAGGTTCTCGTTCACTTCACCTTACGGTAGTTGAATTGGAGACACCCAAGATCAACTCACAATTCACCGACTTAGCTACAGAAACCAACATCTAATTCTCGAAACCAGACAAGACTTCTTCCCTCCTTTCCTGGAGTCTTTAGCCCAGTCGATATTATTACAACCTTCTATAAATAGTAGTGGTTTATTGTGAATGAGGGAGTGCTTACTAAGTAACTCGGTGAGATAAATATCTCACATACGAGTATACTTTTTTATTAATAATACTATATTTATTGTTCCATATAGTACGATTATTAGCTCTTTTAAACTTAGTTAATCTAAAATAATAAGCCTTAATTATTCCTCCGAAACCTCTAAAACGTATATTATAAAGGGCTTGTACTATAAATCTTACTAGAGTAGGTAATCGCGCGTTTATATATATAGAATAAGACTTTTATAACTAGCGAACTCTAATAAGAGCTGGTGGAGTAAGAAATCGCTTAGCTAAAGAAGCTTGCGAAACGATAAGAGTAGAATTATAAGCCTAATATAATAAAGAAGATACTATAAAAGAAGTAATTAATACTATAGTAAGAGTAGTAAGAGCTTATTACTAGGGTTTTTAGTTACTAACTCTTTAAAGAAGATCTACTGTAACGAATACTCATACTGGCTAACTAAACTTGGCTGGGTGTTCGCTGGTTGGTATGCTATGATAAGAAGAAGACTATCGGGTTGTTCACTTGGAAGTGAACTCGTTACTTGTATCAAAGATGTCAAACAAATATGATAAGATTGATAACTAAGTTTAGCACGAAGCTCCTATCTAATGGCAGACGTGCCAGTCTTATATAGAACCTTCGTCCCTGTGGATCTGGGGATCCCCCAGATCCTCAAGATCCCAAGATCCATCACGTGACTACATACAAATGAAATCCTTGGATCGCTTAGCTAGTCTAGCTAATCCCTATTCGCTATAAGAGCATGATAGTGCTTAACCTGTCAGGACGCCGCCTGGTCTTCACTCGTCACATGCTAACACGTGATTCGTGACAATCATATAAAACGTACGTGAATTACCTCCTTTTTTAACCCCTAACTATGCCTAGCCGAGCTAGCCCCTTTATTTTACCCCTATAGGGCCCCTGTTATAGGCCTACAGGCCCCCCGGCACCCCCCAGCATCTATCAAACTTAGCTATAGGGGTGTTCTGGCTAATCAGGGCCTAGCTTCAGGGTTAGACCCCTGGAATACCCTCGCTTTTGACCGCGCTCTCCGTATACCCCTGAGGTATAAAAATATTATCCTAAAGACCCCACACAACTAAATCAATTATACGAGTAGTTTAGAACAATTGTTATAGGTACTTTTCGAGTCTCATTGTACTAGGTGAAATAGGACAATTAAGTTACTTATGCCAGAGTTTTAGTACAACGACTTTAGATAGCGTGTATAGAGTAATGCCCCCGCAGCCCGCCCCGGCCTCTCTGACATTCTTTGTCACGTGCCAGAGGCCGAGGGCCAGGTCCAAAAAAAGTTGCCGCGATGAGAGGAAGTTCATATCTATTCGCAACCGCCATGATACTCAGAAATGTCGCTATACGGCATGGTAAGCATAAGCAGTCTTTGGAATGACTGGATGCTATGTTGCTGATTCAATATAGGCCGTAAGGCTCTGTCCGCCCCCCTCCGAAAATCCTTCCTACGTACCTTGACCAACGATACCATTTCCGCTGAGACGCACTCAGTAGAGCGCTCAATTGAGAACCAACTCAAACAAACACACTCTATTGAAGCAAACATCAACCAGTTGCATCTCACCGATTCCTTTGTGCCCCCAACCCTCGCGAGCGAAGCATCTGAAGCCGTCCTGTCGAATCATGAACACAAACGCCATCTCAAGAAACGAACAGGGAAATTGGGATCAGTTGTAGAAAAGCATTACGAGCCACAACAACTTGTTTTAAACCCACCCAGGCCCGAAGATGTGACTTTGGAGCTCCTGATGGCTAGCCAGAGCCACTTGGGACACGCTACGAGTTTGTGGAATCCCGCGAATCAGAGATATATTTTTGGAATTAGGCAGGGTGTGCATATTATTTCTTTGGAAGAGACGGCTGCTCATCTGCGACGAGCTGCGAAGGTCGTTGAGGGCGTCGCATATCACGGTGGTCTGATACTTTTCGTTGGGACGAGGGCGGGACAGACATCTTGCGTGGTGAAAGCTGCCGAGATGGCGAAGGGTTGCCATTTGTTCGAGAAGTGGATTCCGGGGAGCATCACCAATGGCGATCAGATTCTTGTGAAGTGTAATATTAAGGTTGTGGACAAGGACGATGTGGATATCTCATCGGGATACACAAAGAAGCTTGAGGAGTGGAAGGCCTTGAAACCAGATTTGGTGGTGTGCTTGAATCCGTTGGAGAACTATATCATGCTGCATGAGTGTGGGTTGAATAACATTCCGACAATTGGAGTTATTGATACGGATGCAGACCCAACTTGGGTCACATATCCTATTCCTGCAAATGATGACAGGTTTGTCTTCCTACTACCCTTTACTTTATCAACTATTAACCTCCAAAAACAGTCTCCGCTGTGTTCAAGTCATTGCTGGTGTTCTAGGACGAGCGGGGCAATCAGGTCAAGCCAAGCGTCTCGAAGCAGCAGCAAAGGGACAAGTTACCTGGCAGCCACCAGAGGGGTTAGGCTCACCAGAGCCAGACAAAAAAACTCAACGGGAAGCATCAGAAACGAATAGCTTAATTGATCCTAGAGGGACATTGGACCCTAGGATGTCCTTGAACGCCCTAACACCAGAAGCGCAGATTGCAAAACCAAATCCTATTATCAGGGAGGAAATACCGGGCGAGTTGTAAAATAGAATATGTATGATACATGTGTATATTTGCATGGAAGGCGCCTCTAAAATGGGACATTTGGGATACCATTGTATGACCTCTTCCTACCTTTTTATCTGTTGAATCGTCGGTATGGCCCTTGTTCTCGGATCTTCGACAATTTTCTGGGTGACACGAATCTGACAATAAAAGCTACACGGCTATGTATTGAATTTTCATTGCTGAAATTTGTTCACAGATGTCTTTTAGAATCCATCGATTACAACTTCCGTCAACGAGTAATCTCGATCGCTTTCGCGATAGTGTATTAACTCACAGGTGGGCTAATTTTTATCATTGTCACCTGGTACCATATTTAACTCCTCAAACGGAACTGGCTTCTGTTTTGTTTTTTTGCTTCCTAAGTGGGAATTGAGAGTGCAATTTTTGGGAGCTGCAGTAGAGCATCTGATTTCTCTCGAGTTGCTTGATCTCAATGCTGCTTTTCTTTTGTTGTATGCGCACTCCAAGAGATCCGATACTTCTAGTGTCTTGGAGAATTGCTGGAGAATCAAGTTCTTGATGAGTGAGTGGTGGGAAGGTAGTTCTTAATCCAAAATTGGTACTGTAATGAGCCAAAGTTGGTTTTCTTACTCTGACCAGTGTTGACCTACTGTTGGATATTTAGATCAAGCTGTTAAAACTAGTCGAGTACCAGTTTATTCTGAACCAGCGATGGAAGAACTCAGGATACACGGCATTTCTTGAAGTTTTTCTGTTCGTCATATTCAGGCTTAGCTCTTCATTCCCATGGAAGTTGGCGTTTTAGAGGGCAGGAACTACCCAGCCAGATCCTCACGATTTATGTACCACAGCGCCCACCACTCTTAAGCTTTCAGACCCAATTCAATCTACCATCACAACAGCATCAGCCCAATAATATCCCGATTATCAGACCACCCAAACTACTACTTATTACCAAAGGATTTTCCTCGAAACCCACACTTCATCATGCCCAAATCTACCTCCATCGTCCACTTCCTCAAGGCTGCCATCGAAGTCACCCCACATATCACCCTCCTAACCATAATCCTCTCATGGTTCACCATCATCCCAACGCCAACGGAAAACTCACAAGCATTCACATGGCTCCTCCCCGCAGTCATCGCCACCGTATCCAACATCATTGTCCTGATATACTACGGAGCCAACCCTGCCTCAGACAAATTTACCTCATTCTCACACACCACCCTCACCCACCGAAAGATCGCCTTCGCACGAGTAGAGTTATGTGGCGCTGCGACGGTCTTCGAGATGGTATACATATTCGTCTTGTCGTTTTATAAGCTTGTGACGAATCCTCGGTTGGCCATTGTGTCTGAAGATGGGACCCTTTATGGGGACGTTATTTTCCTCGACGTGTTTTGCGCTTTGTAATTTGGGTTGCTTTTGTGTTGTGGGGTCGCGCTAGTTTGGGTAGTTGTTGGACGTGTGTGGATGGAGTTGAAGAAAGAGGCTGTGAAAGACGATAATGAGACAATGCGGAATACTGAGAGTGGGGAAGAAGGGAAGAAATCATTTGAGGCATAGGATCCTCATGGGAGGAGGGAGCGGAGATGAATTTGATAGGGGCTAGTGGTGTATCAGCTGCCCATTGGAAGCTGGCTATGAACGTAGATAAGGTTAATTAACATGTAATACATCATTCAATTGACTTACGTGGTAAGCCTTGTGGCCACCGAACAGGGTTTGACGGATGTACTATCTTCTCTCTTTGACTACTTTGATATTGAAATTTGTTTGCGGGACCGGATTTGAACTATTGGTGACTTGAGTATTGAATGGGCAGTTCACCTTTTTGGGGGTTTATCATAAGTGACAGAACCATACTGCATACATGCCTAGGCGTGTATGTGGGAAACTCCAGGACAATAAATCCAGGAATGGCGTACACCTACAAAAAAAAGGGGGCGGGGGGGGGAGAAGAGAGAACTGTGCGTTCTTTGGAGTTCAATGTGTGTCTATCTTCAAAGTTCAAAAAGATTTGTAAGACAAGCTCTTTCTGTTCGCATAAATGAAGAAAACAAAACAAACAAGTAATAGTACCAAAATTGTTTTTTCTATAGGCCTTGAGATATCGTCCCAGCTAGAATGACTACTGTTTCAGCAGGAACATCAACTGGCTAGTACTCCCTCACTTTATGATGCCTTTGTGGCTTCTTTGTTGTCTGAAGCCTGAGTTGCAAGCTGCGAGGTATCATACTTCATTAAGCATGTAACCTGGGTTACACATCTCCAGCCTGTTTCTCCATTGGGTATAAATCAGCATGCTTCAATCTCAGTAGTTTCATTGCTTCAGAGACGTAAATTTCTGTGTCTACAGACCCCGGCCATGAATAAGCGATTTACTTGTATTTTACCAGTTGGTTTGCCCTCCTTTGCCTTTCAGTCATTCGGTCTCGAGGCAACTTGACGTTATATACACGAAAGTCGCACAGTCACTCGAATCTGCGAGTATTCGAGCCTGTAGCATTTTCTTTCGCAAGTGACTTGAAGCTCTGTAATGGTTTATTTTTCTGGAACCATGATATGACCAAATGCAACTCCCCCTCTTTTATCAACGCCAGTATGTTGTTGGACCAACATGATATAACGCATGATAAGTTCCATGGACAGTTGACGTTTAGATGACAGTCCACCCACCCGCTCTTAATTGTGACCACTTTGAAAGGCACCCGATTGTTCTGTGCATTTAAGTAGGAGCATTCTGCTCTAGTAGTGTAGGAAAATGGGATCCAACAGGTGCTGGCATGGCGTTTGGCCATGAGAACGTGGCGTGGGACACGTCGAACAACAATGGTACAAAGGTTGACTTGTAACCCCCAGCTAGACTAAAGAAGAAAGAAGATAGTTTTCCGGGAGATCGAGCTGAATTCGTTTCAAAGTGTTCCCTTACTGTTTTGGTCCAGGTCTGGTGGATTTGAAAATTCATAAATTGGCCACCTTAAAACCCAGACGGCCTTTCGGCTACACCCCAAGCGCTTTGAAATGCACCAATATTTTCAATGCACTCATTATAAGCTCTCAACTTTGGAGAACATCAACTGGGAATATTTGGCTGACGGTGACTACAATACTAATCAGAATCTTGACGTGCTGGTCATACTTAATGTTTGGAGGGGTTTCCATTATTACTGGCACCCAGAAAACAAGCAACTCTTCCTAGGTCATATGACCCATGAAGGTCAGCAGTTCAGTTTTGAAGACGAAGGTCGATCCGAAGAGCGCCAGATTCCGCCAGGCTTCCCAAAAGAAGTACGTTCGGTAGCGGACGGTCCACACAGAAATATGAAGTAGCTCTGGTATGTTACTTGTCGTTATCCTCGAGATGAATCACCTTGTTTGATCAAATATTTCGTCGTCTGGGTCCCAAAGGAAAATCATTCAGACATCAAAGCTGAGATAAAAAACTAATAAGTGGTAGTTCTAGTCTTCACAATTTAACCCTTGAATCTAGAGTACTTCATACGCAGGAAATCGAAGATTACTTGCTTGTGTAGATTTCTTTGGCATCCAATAAGTGGCCGTTTACAGCCCCTTGACAATAGATGGAATGCCAGACGATGCGCACAATGGTCAGTGGTCACAATCCGAATCTCAATTCGCGACCATTCGAAAAGGGATTTGGCCATAATTTGGGGCGCAGATCCTCGGAACTGGAGAATTTGATTATTGTGTTATTTTTCAGGGAAGGAAAATACCAGACACTTGCTGAATGAAAGTAAAGCTTATGAAGCGTTTCTATTTCTATATAATACACATATATGGCCAGACTGGAACATACATCATCGCATGTTGCCACCTGACAAATCCTCAAATGCTCATGATAACCCAAAAATCATGGCTCAATTCAACAATATCAAACTCGTTAATCATAAAATGGCATTCTCCGGCATACCGCTCGTCTCAACATCAAAGAGCCTGAAGAGACATTTATTTTCCTTGAGAGAAGTTGCTATCAGCACCTGCTTCTTCGCAGTATTGACCCCACTATTTCGAAAGCAAAGTCAGCTCCGGTCTTTGTAAAGTGGAAATAAAGACAAAAACTGAATCATATTTACCTCCTTTTCACCGATGTGCTCGCCTGGGCTGTGGCAGAATTCAGAGACTCCGTTTGTGTCCATGAAGCAATCAGGGCATTTGTCATGTTGCTTATCACCGGTGTTTCGCTCCTTGTATCTGTTGCATGCGATGGTAGTGGTGTTCTTGTCGTTGACATACTAGAGCATGGTGTTAGGAATTGTGGTGTTCATGTTGAGTTTGGACTTAGTCCTTTGGGTATATGAGAAATCTTACCGCTTGTACGAAATTCATATCAAGCATAGTGCAGATTGCTCTAAATGTCAAGTCTGCCACGACACTATCGAAATGTGTTAATTTTCTTTCTTTCGTATCCCTAGCTTGTGGTTTGGAGGTAGTAATTACCCATTTGCGAGAAGAGCGACCGCGAGGAACTTTGTGATTTGCATTTTGTTGAGTGGTATAGATTGAAAGGTAAGGAAGAAGTTCTTAATGAAACCGAAAATGAGATTTGAATTGAAAGTTGAATTGGAAGTTGATTTGGAAGTTGAAAGGAAAGTCGAAAGGAAAGTGTAAGTGAGAGTATTGGTGTAAGTGAAAGTGGTGGTGGTGAGGGTGGCCTTCTAAAAATGAGGGAGCCCTTGGACAATTATATACCCCTTCGCTCAATGTGAACGCAGCTCTAGGAAGACAGTGCCAAGAGCTAGACATCTCTTGAAACTTATCAGGTGTTCAAGCCGAGTCACCTTGGCATGTCAGAAATAGGACGATCAGACCTCGGGCCGCAGAGTATTTCCAGAATATTGGCATTTCTGTTCCACGGGCGCAGGAGGGCGCTGCCAACCCATAAGCTGCAGCACTCTATTTGTATTTTAATTGAAGGATTTTACAACTTCACTAAGAGGATTTGTGGTGTCACTACTGTTCATATTAACATTTAAGTCAATAAAATCTACGCCAAGAGGCTTGACCCTCGCACGCGGTGGACAGAATAAGTAGCGGAACACATCCTGGTCCGTGCACAGCTTTTAATGAAAGTCGTTATCATTACTATGAAGTAAAAGCACTTACTTTTTAATTACGTAAAGATGTTTTCGATACTCAGTTATCCCTCCTTCCTTTCTCATATAATTCCTGAGCTTCTGATTGATATAGGTATTTTAAGTGTCTTTTAAGCATACTTAGGGGGGTATATTTGTATATAGAAAGTCATCGCTTATTGTGCATGGACCTATGGATGAACCGCCACTTTTTCTGTCCACCGCGTGCCTCGTTGGCATGCCAATAGATGAAGCGATCGATGATATGAGGAATATGCCTAGCTCTATCTTCTTGAAGTCGCATATGTAAGTACATATAATTAAGTTTGGGATGTTCTATTTGGGCCAAAATTTCCAAAACAAGCATTTATTTACCCATATCTACATTAATACGAAGTACGAAGTCATATGCAAGTACCAAGACTAAAAGTGGATACCTTAAACTCCAAGAATTACTTGTTCCCAGGCGTGACAAATGTAAAAATATAGAGACCTCACCCTTTATTCAACTGAAATATTCCATGTGCAACTTTTTACTTTCACGTCTGCGACTTTAAGGGGGTAGCTTGGCTGAAGATGGCTGAGCCTCTGGACCACGGGCAAAGATCAAATTCTACAGAAAAGAATATTGGCAAGGTTCAGATGAACGAGATCTGAGATTTTTGAGAGGAAGGGGTGGTGACACTGATGAGCACCTTGAGGCGAAAATCATGTGCCTATTGTTAGTAACAAGCTTGTTAGAGAATTGTGCGAAGTGGGACTCACCCACAATGTTCATAACTTTCTAAACCTAATTTAATAGTCAGCGACTCACACACACCTTTTTTCGTAGCTTGAATTTTTTGTTCTAAATCGCTCAATCTCTCTTACTCTTGTTTAATAAGCTAAATTCCTTCCATGGAGACTCCTCCAAGGAGACCTCCGGCCTCGCCTACGCCCCTGGGAAGGGGCTTGAGAAAGGGGGAGTACGCCCGATGCCCCCTCTGCCCAACATACAACAATACTTCATCTCTGGGACTACCAAAGCACTAGAACGTGGTGCCATAGGCCAAATCTTCTTCGGGGGCACGACGGAAGCTGTAGACCACTAACTAAGTACTGTTCTTGATGGGGCACCTCTGGACCTCTTGCCCTACCTCAGGGCCTTTTGCACCGAGGTAGCCGACCTCAGCCTAGCCTTCCACGAACGTACACCTCAGCGGCCCCGCCTCCACTACCTTTAGCTCTCAGTGACTCCTACAGGGGTGGAAACAGCCCTACGCCTCCTACAATTCCAACCCCCTCCTTGGCTCCTGAGGGAAAATTTTCATACGCACAGACCACAAAGAATGCCCTAGCGCCTGAAAACCCAGGCTCCACTATAGCAACTACTACACTACTTCCTCCCCCGCCTCCTGTCACTTCAAAGCTACAGAAGAATAAGAGACCCCTAGCGAAATCTGACCTTAGGGTCTTTATACGACTACCTCTAGACTCTCTTGAAAGGAAATACTCTGCGCTAGCTATTTACCTTGCCCTCTGCGACCCAAAAATTGGCTGTAAAGAGCTTGTACAGGAAGTACTATTAGTTAACTCTAGATTTGCTATTGTCCCCAAGGACAAAGAAGCCCTTGATACTATTCTATTAACAAAGAAGGCCTTTATCCAAACCCTGTTCTCTGCAGCTAGAATAGAGACCTCGCAAGATTGGGCAGTATTCCGCCTATCAGGGGTCCCTCGTAGTGTTGAGACTGTCGAAATTAATGAAAAAGGAGCGATTTTATCGACCCTTTCCTCTACTAATCCGCAAGTAGTAGCTACAGCTATAGAGGAGCGAATTGGAATTACACCTACGAAGGTTGTCATGGCCACTAGCTCTCTCTCTGACGGGCTGTTCTATACCTCTTGGATTGTATTCTTTAAGGAAGAGGAAGCTAGGGTCCCTCGCGCTATCCCCAACATGACATCTCTCCTTAGAAGAAGAGCCTTCTTTAAGCGCCTCCCTAAAGTCTCTGCTGTTATACAGTGCTCTAGGTGCTGGATATGGCACAACTCAAGGAACTGTGGCAAGAACCAACGATGCCGCTTATGTGGCACCACTAAACACTCTGAAGATTTCCACCCTAGGTGCATTAGGCACTCTCAGTGTAAACTAAAGTGCCTACACTGTAGTGGCCTACACGCCTCAGACGACCCTACGTGCCAGCTTAGGCCAAAAGCCTCAGGAACACACCCTTCAACCGAGAACAAGAGAGCTGTTCAACAGGCATGTAATGAGATGCGGACAAGAGAAGGAGAGTCTCACTGTAGTAGCGTAGACACGGTAATAGAACCAGAGCTGCCTACTACTCCTTAGAACCCCCCCCCTCAAGCTAGCATAGACAGCCCTCTCACGCCCTCCTCTGTAATTCTCTAACGGGCTAACAAGTCCCTCGCTACTACTGCAGAAGAGGCATACTACGACCTCCCTAGACAAGGATACATAGACACTAATCCCTCTACATCATTATAAGTATATGTGAGAGGCCAGACCTTGAACAGCTCAAAGGTGTGGTTTCGAATATTGAATTAAGAAGTGCGTGAAGACTACATACATGCGAGCTCTTCCTCTATATATAGAGAGAGGAAGAGCTTCCTGAATATTCCAAGAAACTTGCAAGAAACTTGAATGACGAATACATGATGTCAGAAGAACAAAACAAGAAAGTGTGGAATGGTGGAAACCTGTTTGGCGGTGGGGTAATGGCCAGTGCTAAGCGGGGACTTTGGTCAGTGCTTAGCGAGGGCATGGCCCGAGCCTCCATCATGGGTTCCAACCCTCACAGTACACAGGGATTTACTTAACACTACTGCCTCCAAGTCCTACAAATCAATGTACACAAGTCTAGCGATTACCAGGAGCTAGTACTACAGCTAGCCCACATTAAGCGAGTTGATGTGGTACTTATCCAAGAGCCATATATCTACCGAAAGGAGATCAGTCGTCAGATCACAAGATGCCACCCGAATTACGACTGCTTTGCACCTATATGTGACTGGAATATCAGCCCTCCTAGGGCACTCTGTCATGGTACAAGTGCAAGTCGAGGACAATTGCGACTTGGTTGAATAGATTGATTACAGGGAGAGAAGAGATTCTTAAGGAGATCTATCTTTTAAGTCGGTTGACACTGGTCTGTGCTGGTTTATCCATAATTGTGAATAGCTTCATAAATGAACGCAGGTCACCTGATCTGACTCCTTGACACACTCACTTTTGTACGAAAAGGGGCTGGCATCCTTGGAAGCCAACAGACCCCAATCGCCCCCTCGCTTAAATGCCGAGACCTTGTCTATGTTAAATTTACACTCTCCCAAGGCCACTCACTTTACATACTCA